TTTGTGGGGGTCCTGCTGGATAGAAACGGTCCCCTTGTGGGTCCGCCGCAGCTGCACACCAGAGCCGAGGTAACGGGTCGGTGCCGAAGGGGCCGCTATTCACCACGGAGCGTCAATCAGCCCTTGTCCCGGGGCAGCCGAGTCACTGAGCATGTTCTGATCGTCACTGCACCGACCAGCTGGTCCTGAACACTGAGCTGGTTGTTGTTAGCCTCACATTTGCGACTCCCTAGGTCTGTCGCCCATTCAAGGACATCAGCTACATGATAAATTCTGTGTTTGTGGTTATGTAATCTGTTGTTAGGCACCCATTAAGTATGTTGAAAAGGAAATGGATGGTTACTCTTGATTTTCAAATACAGTAATATGTCTAAGGACCTTTATCCCCATGCCCATAAGTTAGGCAATTTGATTTATTACTTCTCCTAGAAAATGTATAGTTTCGATCCAACTATATCATTTTAATTCTTTAGGTTTTATTCTAGTCACAAAGCAGATAAAAATCTTCCCAATGCCATGGGATAGTAATAAAAATTACACTCCTTGTGTGATTCCTGGGCTAATACAGACTATGATTGTCATTTTCATTTTATCAATGATGTTAAGTAAGAGAAGTGAAGTGATTTGTCTAGGGTCACAGAACTAATTGGTGGTAGGTTCACATTTTAACTCGGTTCATGTAACTAGGTGACGTATTCACAAGTTCCTAGTCTGGAGCATGGGTGCCTACCCTGTGCCAGGTGTCACTCCAGGAAGCGTGAGATGGACAAAGGGGAAGACAATTGCAAGTAAACGGATGCAGAGGCAAGACGAAGCCAGAGGCTGATGTGTACTTTGAGACAATAAGAAAAATTCACTCTCCCTAGGCATGGTGTTAGCATTATTCAGTGCTTGCCAGGTACAAGCTTTGTGTGATCTCAGTGACCGGACAGAGGGCTCCATTCCAATGGTGCTCCAGTGGTGGGAACAGGTCAGGTGGATACGAAGGAATGGAGTGCATGATTTTAGATAGTGACAAGTGCCGTGAAGAGATCCTCCAGGCTCTCTCCCTGTGCCTCTGCATCCCATGTGTCCTTCGGTAAGTCTTGTAAGCCTGTATTGAGCACTTGCTGTGCGCCAGGCAAAGTGCCAACTCAGCGCAGGGTTCACAGTGAAAAATTCAGATTCGGCTTCTATGTCCTCACTCTAGTGAAGGGAACAACTAAAGTTAATCAAGACCATATATGTGGTGAGTGTTCTGAAAGAGGATGAACCATATGTGTGGAGAGTACGCGTCCAGATACCTAGGACCAGGACAACTCCCAACCCCTGCGCCCCTTTGCCAGGAACCTTCCAGTGCACCCTTCTGGGTCTGCCGTTAGATATCTCCTCTTGGAAGGAGCAGTTTCAGGTGTCTAGTAAGTGCTTAACAAACACCTACCTTTGTGTGCTTTTATTCTTAGTAATTTATGCAACAGTGCTGTTTTTAAATGACACAGGGCTTTCTCCATGCACCCCACAGATGGATGTTTGTTATCACAAGTGAGTCCTTTCACGTGACAGAGTAATGAGGGCATTGTGATTACATCTTAGTAAAAGCAAACCAGTAAGCCCAGACCCATTTGTGTGTGTGTGTCAATTACCGCGTGAATTTGGAAGCAAGGATTGAAATAGGAAAGTTTGGGCTTTCTCGTCTCTGTGCTGATAATGTCCATGGAATGGATGAATGAGGACAGGTAACCGTGGTTAAATGGGTGAGCCTGTAAGGTGGTGGGCAGCCACTGACCCTGGAGGACTGAGTGGGCACCTTCCCACGCAAGCCAGACGCCCTTGTGTTTGTGCTTTGTTTTAGCTACACTGACACTGGGCTAACCTAGATGGTTTCATAAGTGAATTAAAAACCAAGAGAGCATAAATAATCAATTCCTGCCCTGTATCCAACTTGCTCAATACATTCTTATGCTATAATTTCCTCTTCTGCAAATCAGGGATAAATAGATAGGCCTTCTGGGAGGATAACACGATTGGACTTGCACTTACGAAGCACCAAAGAGCTGCCCAGGAAGGGAAACTCCTGAATTTTTCTTTTGGGACACCCATGACAACTGATTACACTACAGAAAAATCTGTGCAGTATAAAGCACCTAAGTCAAATTGTCTGAATGAATGTCACCCTTCTCCCATCACCCTTAACCCTCATCCTCCTCCATCCTGGCCGGGACGGTAAATGAGGTCCGCTGGCGGAAGAGCCAATTCCCTGGCTGTTCCTACAGAGCTTTTCCATGAGTGTGCACAGTGGCTGGATGGTGTCTCTGGGTCCTTAGAAACAATGCTCGAGTCTTCAGAGCAGTGTGGGAATGACCTCCACAGCCAAGGGCAACTTCAGAAGGTTGACACCCACGTTCACAAGTAGGGGCTGGGCTGTATCTGAGATGGCCTGTGGAGATGAGGGAAAGGCAGATGTTTCCGAAGCCACACAGGTTTTCCACACGGACCACACTTACCATTCCCTACTTCGCCCTGAGAGCAGAGCAGGTGGGGCCTCGCCCCACGACCATGGCCGCCTTCCTCCTCTCTGCCATCTCTGCTCGCTTGCCAATACTCAGCTTATGTCCATTGGCCACTTCCTCCAGGCAAGGAATCAATAAAGACAAAAGGAAATACTGAGGTAACTGAGTGCTTCCTTTACTCCCCTTTACATTCCTCCTTTCTCAACAGTGCATCCCCAGAGTCCGCGTGTTCTTCATGCTAAGCGCGATCTTGATTCCCTTTCTCATGGTGGCATCTGACACCCATGGTTATGTTGAGAACCTCATAGAATAATTAATGTAAAATGTTTAGAACGTGGCCTTCAGAAGTGGTCACCCATTAAACTACAGTTCAAATGAATATTAGTGGGATTAACATGATTCAGTTATCAGTTCCTATTTATTGTGTCTTCATAAGCACAGGATGTCTTTAGAGTTCTGATAGATGTGAAGACTGTAAAGTAGGAAATCATTACTTAGCCTTACAAGTGTGTTAAAGAAAATCCCAGCCCTGGCCGGTTTGGTTCAGTGGTTGGAGCGTCAGCCTGTGGTCCAGAGAGACCCGGGTTCGGTTCCTGCTAAGGGCGCGTACCTCGGTTGCAGTTTGTCCCTGGCCCTGGTCCGTCGTGTGGGTGGTAGCTACTCGATGTGTCCTTTCACATCGATGTTTCTCTCTCTCTCTCTTCCTCTCTCTCCCTCCCACTCTCTCTGAACAAAAAATGGAAAAGTGTCCTCGGATGAGGATTAAAAAAAAAAAGAAAATCCCAAAAGCAGTCCAAATTTCACTCCTTGTCACGTGCACTGATCAAGCGGGGAACTGGGGTGTTACAGACACCACTGGAAACCCGAGGCGACATCCTCCCAAGGACAGAGCTCTTAGCCTGCCCCGTCTGGCCTTCTCACCGGTTCCTCTCCTGCGCACTGGGCCCCCCATCACTGCTGGCAGCACCTCCCAGCACGGCCCCGCGGCACGGCCCGCCCCCTGCAGGCCACCGCCCACGAGGCAGGCTGTCCTGCTCTTTCCCCGGAGCACTGGGACCTGCCATAGAGCGGCTGGAACGTGGCTAGACAGAAGCTTTGTCTCACTCGGGCCTTTTACATGTCCACACAGCAGCCTCTTCTGGCAGCTAACAGGGCTGCCAACTTTGCCCAGAAACAGAACAGAACAACCTGCAACCACAGAGAAGACAGTCGCTGACTTTCATAGCAATCTAAAGTGACCATGAACTGAAAACCGACGCACTGACTTGGGTTTCCTCTCTTAGGCAGATGTATTTTTTTTCCCATCATTATTGATTTTGAGAGAGCAAGAGAGAGAGACACACTGATTGGCTGTTCCACTTATTTATGCATTCATTGGTTGATTCTTGCCCAAAGTTTTGGGTTCAATGCCCTGACCGGGGATTGAACCCAAAACTTTGGTCTATGGGGACAGTGCTCTAACCAACTGAGCTACCTGGCCAAGACTGGCAAATGTATTTTTTTACTCAACTCAGGACAATAGGCAAGTGGTTATATGCATCTCTCAGTGGTTTTCTGAGTATACGTTATCAGTATCAGCTACGTACTGACATCAACACCCTAAAATTGTATTGAACTGTCAAAGCCGTCTCTTTTATCGTTATTTCACTAATGACTTCAAATAATAACTTACTGTTTGGTCCCCCTGCAGTGAACTGATCCGCTTATATAATAACACGATTTAAGTGATAAGCAGTGGGGGTATCGATTAAATCAGATTAGGGGAAGGGCCGAATTATTCTTGAGCTTGGTGGTGGCAACTTGAAGACATTCCATTTAGTGAAGTTAGCTGACACGTTCCTATTGTGTATGTGAACGTGCCGGAGGTGTACGCATCTGTTCATTGTCTTGTTGCATTCAAGCTACCATTTCCCATTTGTGTTTAAACTTTCATATTGTCCTAATGGTGACTGGTAACATTTAATTTCACAATTTCAGATAGCAACATAAACACAAACTTTGGCACTGCATTGAGCCTTAAATTCCTTCCTTACAGTAATATGTACTTTGTAAGAATTTACTCTGTTTTATTTTTCTGGCTATACTCACAAGTTCTGATTTTACCAAGTATGCATCCTCTCAAATGGCATCTAAAACGCAGACATTAAGAACATGTTTTCATCATGGTCCCTTGCTGATGCTGTAGATCTAAGACTTAAATCCATACAAAACAAGAACGCAGAGCGTTTAAGCCAGAGTCACGTGGATGGCTGAGCTCAGTAGTCAGTATATTCCCAAGTGGTCAGTATATCACATAAGAATTAGCCACTAGTAAATTTCAGGTAAGTAGCATGAAATAATCACAACTCTTAAATTCTACTTTTAAGAAACTTTCTCCAAAAAACTAATACAATGTAGTGAATTGTTTAACCCTGTGGCATATATATATGTCCATGTGTACCAGCACATGTGTAAGCCCTATGTCAAGGAAATGCCTCCCTGAAAAGCCGTGTTTTCCGTTTGCCATTGCAGATGTACATTACCAACACCATCCAAGCCAAAGGAACCAGGCTCGCAAAGCCCGTTCTGTGCTTGGGCTTAATGTGTCTGGCCTTTCTCACTGGACTCAACAGAGTAGCTGAGTATCGAAACCACTGGTCAGACGTGATAGCAGGCTTTCTGGTCGGGATATCTATAGCAGTGTTCCTGGTAAGTACAAATTGATCGAGATGGTGCTGGGTTTTTAATTCATGTGTGTGACCACAGGTAAGAAAACACACATGGGAACCCTGGCTTTGTCTAAATGTGGTTTATCAGATGATCACAATGCGGTTTATAAGATGATCACAGAGATACTCCAACGAGGTCATTTATTTATTCCTCTTCCCTCATTTGTTCTGCCTCAAGTCAGGTGCGGGGATAAAAAGAAAATGTAAATTCCACATGCCGAGGTGAACAAAACGTGTTCATATAAAACAGGGCTGCCCTGGCCGGTTTGGCTCAGCGGTTGGAGCGTCAGCCTGCAGTCTGGAGAGACCCGGGTTTGGTTCCCGCAAAGGGCACGTACCTCGGATGCAGTTTGTCCCCGGCCCTGGTTGGGTTGTGCGGGTGGCAGCCGCTTGATGTGTCCCTTTCATGTCGATGTTTCTCTCTCTCTTCCTCCAACTCTATCTGAACAAAGAATGGAAAAATGTCCTCAGGTGAGGATAAAAAACAAAACAAAACAAAAAACAGAGCGGGGCTAAAAGCACCTGGATAGTTTTAGGTCTGAGGTGCTTGGACATTTTTAAAATTTCCTCAGGGCACTTTGTGTGTCTAGAGAACCCAAGAGCACCCTCCGCAGGCCACGTGTCACAGGCAGTGCTCACCAACAGGTGCGCCTCTCGTGAGGTGACCAGCCCTCGGCTACTGAGCCCGTGTCCCGGCAGTCCCGCCGCCAGCAGGTGTGGCCCAGCAGCGGGAGCACGCGAGGTGACTGCTGATGGTGTGAGCCCTCTCTCCTCTTACTTGAAAATCTCCTTCGTACGTTTCCTTAGCTTTTGGTTGTTGGAAAATGTAGTTCAGCCTGGCTTTAGAATTAATTGGTCCATTATAAGTATGAGCATTGCACCCAGATGAAAACCTGTGCAGGCTATACATCAAAACGTATTTTCACATTGACACATTATGAGACACACTTTGGTTCTTTTTCGGTCACATTTAAATTGCTGCTCACGGTTAACTGTGCTTCCTCCGCACCTTCACTGTAACACCCAGTGAGCAAAAACTTGCGCGATCCAGTCCAGCCCGGGAGATTTCAGCAGGCTGATGTGCCAGGCAGGTGAGACGGGATTTTCTTCCAGAGCCTCCTGTGCGAAGAGGTGACTATGTCCTCCTCCCGGCCTGTGCCATGTTCGACTTTTCTTCAGATTTTTTTCAATTCCCAAGGTCCCTGGAAGACTTACTCACCCCCCAAGATACCCATCAGCCTCATGAAAACTGGGGCCCAGCCTTGGGCTGAAACCTTTTCCCAGTTTCACTCTTCACAGTTGAAACAGGTTCATGTTGAACAAAACAAAACAAAAGCCACTTTACAGAAATCCTAAGAAAATAATCATAGGCAAGGCACAGAGAGAAGACCATGGTCAAAATCTCAGTGAGTCGTGGCGATGGAGCTGCTCTCAGCCCCTCGGACCCTGAGCCCCTTCGCCGGCTTCTCGTCAGCCTTCCTGCCCAGCTTGTGGGGCTGCTGCCATCCCCTGGCCTCCAGGGACGGCCCTGCCACCTGCCACCCAGACCTAAAACCCTCGGGTCTGCCCCATCACTCCCCGTCTGCAAACCACGAGGTGAACGGTGAGCTGGGTCCCTGGGCTCAGGACCCTCCTTCGGCACACACATGTTCAGAACATTCCCTAACCAGCCCTTCGAACATGCCCACCTCTCCAGGAAAACGACCTCTGAGAAGGTCATGGGACAGTAAGCTTTATAATAAAGAACTAAATGAGCGTGCGCATTCATTCACAGCCATGCATGCGTGTGAGTGCCTATGGGCACCAGGCACTGTGCGGGGGAGGGGGGTGCCAGGCACTGAGCGGGGGAGGGGCGGCACCAGGCACTGTGGGGGTGGGGGAGGGGGCACCAGGAGGCTCCGACGAACATGACCTGTCTCCTCTGACAGTTTGTCTGGTTTGAAGGTCAGACCATAATCCAGTAGTTGGGTTATTTCCCCAAATATTCCCTCCCTTTCTTCATAAAATAAACATTTATTGAGCCCCTACTGCAATAGGCGAGCTGCCTATACCTCACAAAATTAAAAATGGAACTCACTTGCCCTAGCCCATTTGGCTCAGTGGTTAGAGTGCCGGCCCTGGACCTAGGAGTTTCGGGTTCAATTGCAGTCAAGGGCATGCACCTCAGTTGCGGTTTGGTCCTGGTCCTGGTTGGGGTCATGCAAGAGGCAACCAAGTGATGTCTCTGTCTCTCTCTCCCCCCCCACCCCCACTCTATCTCAAGATAAATAGAAAAATAGCCTCAGGTGAGGATTAAACAAAAAGAAGAAGGGCCCAGCCACTGTGGCTCAGTGGTTGAGCACTGACCATGCACCAAGAGGTAGAGGTTCGATTCCCATTCAGGGCACATGCCCAGGTTGTGGGCCAAATCCCCAGTGGGGGGCATGCAGGAAGCGGCCAATTGATGTTTCTATCTCTCTTTCTCTTCCTTCCTCACTCTCTAAAATCAGTAAAAGAAGAAGAAAAAAAGGGAACTACTTTATGACTCAGAAATTCCTCTCTGGGAATATATCCAAAGAAACACAAAATACTGATTTGAAAGAATATATGCACCCCCATATTTATTACAGCCCAGGAGCCCATCAGCAGATGAATGGATAAAAGAGCTGTGGTACATATACACAATGGAACACTTCTCAGCCATAAAAAAGGAAGGAAATCTTACCTTTTGTGACAGCACAGATGGACCCGGAGAGAGTGTTATGATAAGTGGAATAAACCAGTCAGAAACAGACAAGTATCATATGATTTCACTAATATGTGGAATCTAATGAACAAAATAAACTAACACAATAGAAACAGACTCACAGACACAGAGAACAGACGGACAGTTTTCAGAGGGAAGGGGGGTTGGGGGACAGGGTAGAAAAGGTGAAGGGATTAAGCAAAGAAAAAAAAACTAAAAAAAAGTGCCAACTCCTAGGCTCCATCCTTCTGCTATGAAATTATAATCTTTCGGAGGAGGCCTAGGAATGTGCATTCTATTTTTTATCCTCACCCGAGGACATTTTTTCATTTTTTGTTCAGATAGAGCAGGAGGGAGAGAGAAAGAGAGAGAGAGAGAAAAAAAACATCGACGTGAAAGGGACACATTGACTGGCTGCCACCCGCGTGACCCAACCAGGGCCGGGGACAAACTGCAACCGAGGTACGTGCCCTTAGCGGGAACTGAACCTGGGTCTCTCTGGACCGCAGGCCGACGCTCTAACCGCTGAGCCAAACTGGCCAGGGCGGAATGTGCATTCTTAAGGTGCCAGCACTTTATTTTTGTACACTCTCGAGAAGGAGAAACCCTGGTTTCGTTCAAGTTCCATCACCTCTAGGGTATAATCAACTGGAACAGGTCAATTCCCTTTGTGTAAAAGGTCTTCTGTTTCATTAGTAACCCCAGCAAGCGGCTGTTGAAATGCCAAGTATGTATAGGACACAATAAGAGACAATAAACTGGGTTAATTAAAAGGATGCTACTAAATTAGAGAGTGCCATTGTGGAGGGTTTATTATGAATGTTAGGATGACCTTGAGGCAGTGGGAAATAATTAGCATTTAAATTAAGTTGTAGGTTAGCCACACTGGGGAAAGGTCAGCTTGCTATGAATTTTTATAAGGTTATGAGGTTATATTTGAATTTATTTGAGCATTGACTATTACCTAATTTAATGAACATTTTGGAATAATAAAATTGTCCTTATTAACTGAGCTACATATTAATTGGTGAATTTTCTTGAACACATACACACTGGAGTAACTATTTCAAATTTATATAAAAGAAATCTGGGTAAAGTCATGTACATTTAATATTTAAGTAACTTATATACTTTATTATTGTGATTAAATTTATTGAGCTACCCAAAAGGTCATTGTCATAGACAGTGTGGCTTTTTCTGAAATTCCAGGTCGTGTGCGTGGTAAACAATTTCAAAGGAAGACAACCTGAAAATGAGCACACACACATGGAGACTCTGGCTCACACGCCGATGATCAGCATTCCTCGAGTAGAGAGTCCTTTGGAAAAGGTAACATCTGTACAGGTGATGCACAATTTAAATTCTAAAATGTGATCGTTACCTGAAGCGAATGAGTAATTACTCCAAAGCACACCACACAGTCATTCCCAATTCACTGCAACAAACTCAGAGTCTAAGTGGTATTTAGCAAGAATTTAGTCACTGATGACATTGTTTTAGAAAAAGGTAGACTGCACTTAAAATATTTCTTTGAGTATGCACACTGAAAGCTGAGCCCCCGTACCTGGAGTATGTTCGTGCTTTGCCGAAGCTTCTGGAAGAGAACGCTGTGCAGTGGTCTTATGTAAAGGAAAAAATCATAAAATAGTTTTGCTTGAGAATATGTGCATTCTTTTCATAAAATATGTTCCATTTCTTCCACGCTCCACTTACGGGTGACTCTTGAACAAGACGGGTTTGAACTGCAAGGGTCCACTTATATGCAGATTTTTTCCAATAAATACAGTAAATGTGTTTTCTTATGATTTTCTTAATAGCGCTTCTTTTCTCCAGCTCACTATGTTGTAAGAATACAGTGTATAATCCATAACATACAAAATATGTGTTCACCGACTGTTATGTGATTGGTAAGGCTTTCGGTCAATGGAAGGTTATCAGTAGTTAAGTTTCTGGGGCGTCTGAAGTTATCCACGGCCTTTCAGCTGCACGAGGGGGTTGCTTCCCCTAACTCCCATGTTGCTCAAGGGTCAACTGAATGAGAAACTGCTTAGTAAACGCCTGGCGTATAACCAGGCTCAATAAATATTTGTGGAATCTCGATATATAAAGGTCTGGCAGCAAGAAAATAGCAGCTCTAACCAGGGAGGCCCTGAGGTCAGGTGGGACTGAATGGGTCCAGACCAGGTAACACTTTGCACAGTGGGTCAAGGCCTCCAGGGGTGTGGGGGATGGCAATGAACATAGAAACCGTGTGTTTAAACAAAAACTTTTCTTGAGACTTTTGTGAACTGCTATTTCTTAAATGATGTGGCAGTTATACACATTTGTTACTGGTTAAGTGCTTGCTCGGTTACTAGAGGCTCCCCTCAGTCCTGTCTATGCCTGTATTTTGATCAGTATCTTACGGGAAGAGGTCAATTTTGATGGTGTGAATCCATGAGGGATAATTAATACATTGGCTGAAAGAATAGAAGTTCTTGAGAGATTACTATAAAATGACAATTCATTAACTAGAAATAAAAAAAATTTTGTGTGTTTGGATTTTGAAAAAGTTCATGTAGGGGAGGGTGCATTTAGGTGAACTACAATGAATGACTCAGAGCCGCAGTGGGACCATTCAGTGTGCGTGGACAGATGATACGGCCACCAAGAGTTTCTAGCACGTGAAGTCCCACTTAGGGAAATGAGCATATTGATGGTCCCCTCTGTTCAGACCAGCTTGGAACACTATGTGCTGCCCTTGGTGATGTGTTTTTAAGGTGGACATTGATAAAATAGAATAGTCAGCACTCAGTAAATATGTGTTAAATGAGTGAATGGGCATGTCCAGGATAAGTGGACTCCAAGTCATGTATTATGAGAGCCTGTGGAAGGGACAAACAATAATTAGAGAAAAAGAAAACTCATGGAAACAGTGGTAACTTTCCATAAATACCTGAAGGACCATCGTGTGGCAGAGGGATGTGGTTTGTTCTGCAGGCCTCAGAGATCACAGTGAGGGTGAAAGGAAAGAAAGTATAAGAAGATAAATAACATGGGAAAGGGGTAAAAAACTTTCTAAAATGGAGTGCATGCTTTAAGAGCAAAGAAATTTCCTTTGACTAGAGAGATTCAAGAATAGTTACATAATCACTATCCATGATATATGGAGGGAATTCAAGTATTTGGGTGAGGACAGGGTCTAGATGGTGGTGATGGTGACAATGGTGGTGGTAATGATGATGATGGTGATGATGATGGTGGTGATGATGATGGTGATGGTGGTGGTGATGATAATGATGGTGGTGATGATGGTGGTGATAATGATGGTGATGATGATGATGATGGTGATGGTAATGATGGTAATGACAGTGGTGATAATGGTGATGACAGTAATGGTGATGATGGTAATGACAGTGGTGGTGACAGTGGTGATGATGGTGATGACAGTGATGGTGATGACAGTGGTGATAGTGGTGGTGATGGTGATGATGGTGGTAATGACAATGGTGGTGACGATGGTGATAATGATGGTGGTGATGGTGGTGATTATGATGGTGGTGATGGTGATGACAATGGTGGTGATGGTGATGATGATGATATGGTGATGGTGATTATGATGGTGATGGTGATGATGATGATGATGATGATGAGGTGATGATGAATAGTAATGATAGTGGTGGTGGTGATGATAGTGATGACAGTGGTAATGATAATAACTACCCTTTAATGATCATTCAGTATGCACCCAGGGCTACACTGATTGCTTATGAAATTCCACAAAAATACTTCTTTGCTCTATGAGTATAATTTCATTTCTTACAGCAATTTTTAAAGCTGGGCATCATTAGAGTGGCAAAAATGGCTAAAGGTCCACTAGTATCCCTTCACCTCTTCTTCCTTTTAGCAACTGCAGACCACAGGCCCATCGAGAGTCATGCTGGAGACACAGCTCACACTTTCTTATGGAGCTCTGCTGGGGTGGACACGTGTGCGTGCTCCCCAGCTAGAGAGGCAGCAAGGCGTCACGTAAGGGAAGCCCGCAGCAGCTTTCTCTTCCTTTTGCAGTGATGAATATTTGGAGCAAATAGATTGCTTTTCATCACAGTTCACCGCGGGGCACAAGTGACGGCAAGGCTCTTCCCCGTAGTTTGGTCTTCATAGTTGATAGCTGGAGAGCCCTGCAGCTGGCCCTCTGCAGGGAGGAAGGAAGCTCGGGGTTGCAGTTTGGTCTGTGGGCATGCACGGCCGATCACTTCAGTGTTCTATGCCCAGCTATCATTTCCTGTCATCAGTTTTGTGTGGAGAAGGCAAGTGGTTTCTTTTAGAAGTTATGTACTTATGTAAACTCATATGTTCAAAGTACATGTTTGGTAAATTGTAAGGTGCACAGTGATTACAGCATGCAGGCATTCTTTATTTTTATGTCAGCAATTTATCCCTTAATTGTAGGAAGTTTGTCATATACTTAATTACTGTAGTAGTTTACGTGGAAGTCATTTCTCTGAAAGCTAAGTCAGAACATTCATTATGCTTGGTTTAATGAGAAGAATCATCTGTGGAAACCAGCCCATCATATCTCATCATCCACTAAATATTTAAGTGACCAGAAACCTCACTGCAGCTGTTTATAATAGCACATCAAGAAAGTTCTAAATGTATTTCAGTAGCGAATTATGAACTCATTTGTGGGACCCAGTACATTACAGTGTAGTTGTTCTGCCGCGGGGTAGGGAGGAAGACTGGCTGGGGACTTTGGACAGATGTTGTTGTTTTTTTAATCCTCACCCAAGGATATGTTGTTGTTATTATTTTTATTATTATTATTTTATTTTAGGGAGAGAGAGAAACATCAATGTGAGAAAGAAACATCCATTGGTTGCCTCCGACTGGGGATGAACCTGAAACCTTGTTATGTGCCCTGACTGGGAATTGAACCCGTGACCATTTGGGACAACACTCTAAGCAACTGAGCCTTGTGGCCAGGGCAGATTTCAGACAGTTCTGACCTTGGGCAGCTGACTTAAGTGCCCTGTGAATCAATTTTCTCATTCATAGAATGATAGCTACGAAAGTTCCATAACAGTTACAATATGTTCCTGGGGTGGGGGGGAGATAATGCCGAGAAATTCAATTGAATTCATGGAGGATGGCAGCTGCTTTCCACGGCCACGGAGATGGAAGGAAAGGCTGGGGGAGGAGACAGCGGGCTCCATGGCACCCGGGAAGGAATCCTGCGCGGCTCGGTGAGAACCACCACGTGACGCGCAGGGCCACGCTGGAGAAGGCGAACCGGCGCCCGAAGGACAGGGTCAGCAGGTGTTGTAAAAGAACAAGAGAATAAAGTCGATCTGAGAAAAGGTAATGGACCTGGAGGATATGTCAGAAATCTAACGTGTGAATCACTGGAGATCCTAACGAAGAAGACAGTGGAGCTGTAGGAATGTGCAGAGACATCCTTTAAGGAGACTTTTCTTCTAAATAAACATCTGAGTCTTTAGACTAGAAGGGTTAACTAGATGAAAGGTAAAATTAGAACATACTTTAGAACTTAGATATGTGTTGGTGAAGTTTCTGAATTTCAGTACAGAAGACAGAGCCCTATAAATAGTGATGGTTTGGGTTATATTGCTCCCAGTGATTAGCCACCTCCTCCTTGGGCAGACTGCCCTTCCTGCTCCAGTCACTTCGGACTTGGTCAGTAACACGTGAGTGAACCTGACGTAGAGCCCATCAGTCAGAAACCTGTAGAGCCATCAAGACTGTCTGCCGACCTTAGTCCTCCTGGGCCTTCTTCCAAGGGAAGGCCACGCTCTGGGAGGGGGTGCGCCTCCGCCTGGCCCCAGAATGGGAAGACATGGGAAGCAGACCGGCACCAGCACCTGCTGCAGGTGCACGAAACCTGACCACCATGCAGGATGAGGGGAAGACACGTTTCTGTTGTTGGAAGCCACTGAGCTTTTGAGTAGGAACGTCATAGCCTAGTGAAACCGACGCGCACACAGCGGACACGGCCCTAGACTGACAGCCTGCGGCCTCGGCCTGCTCCCTCCCCGTCGCTCGGTGCCGGAGCAGGAGGGGGTGATGCCTGTGGGTGTGCAAGGAAACAAGTGTGACATAAGAATTCTGTTCCCACCCAAAAGGTCATTTAAGTGTCACAATAAGCATAAAATACCACATAGGTGAGAATTCAGGAATTAGCCGTCCCTCGCCACTTCGCGCTGCAGCTTCCTCTGCTTCACTGCACCGCGGCTTTTTCAAATATATTCATTAAAAAGGTGGTTGAGACAGTGAAACTGATACAGCGCACACTCGGTTGTCTGAGTCAATTACACACCCTGTATTACAAT